TGGATCTGTAAAAGGGTATATTCTATATATTAAAAGGAGAATTAAATTGAAATAAGGGAGCCCGAGTCAAGGTAAAGATGTAATATGGTGACTTTTTATTTTAGGCAAACTAAACTAGATATAAAGCTGGGTCATGGATCTGGAACCACTTTCAATAAGAATGTTATTAGAAGATCTTGAGAACTTTATATAATATGAGAGTAATATTATGATAGTAGCTATACTATATACTAAAATCTGTATATGAATGGTTTGAAGGAAGGTCGGAATTTGGGATAATCGGATTGGAAAATTAATTAAAAAATGTTTTTTAAAAAAACTCCTAGAAGTCACCAGCATGAGCAAGGCTGGAACTTAGGGTAACTGAATAAGCTCAGAAGAGGAAACACATTTTTTTTGTTATATCAGACCAAAGGTCTCATCTGTTCTAACCATTTCCCAAATACGAGTCTCCCTGAATGTTGTGGCACTACAATGGTCATCATTCTTGTTGGGCATGGTGACTGGAACTATGGGATTTTTAGTCTGGTTTTTTTTTTCAAGCCTTCTCAATCCAGAATTCCAATTCCACCAGCCAAATCTGTGATAGTAAGAGGGACAAGAGACAGAAAAAATGTTATTGCATGAAATACTATTGCATGTAGGCTGCATGTTTCATCCCTTTTACCTCTTTCCACAGATGCCCTTCTTGCTGCACACCAGCTGTGTAAAGGTAAGATCAAATGTCTTTCCTTCTCCTTGAAAATAATTAGAATGGTTGACAGTCAGCTGAAAACACGATAAAGATGAGTCAAGTAAAAACAACAGAAATAACACTCAAAGGCAGCGCCATGGCTTCCCTTCCCTGCCTCCTCCAGATGCGGCTTCTGAGTGGGCGTCTGTCAGAGGAGGCAGGGAAACAGCAAACACCTGTTCTGCCAGAACACAAATTGGCATGAACTGCCGTTTTGGTGGTTCATGCCGATCTCTACTTATAGCTAGTTAATTCCCGCTCTGGGTAGCGCCATCTGTGTAAGTGGAAAAAAGGCAGCTTGTAGGCAAAAGACTTTAAAAAAAACTACCCAGCCCCCTACAAGTATTTTCTTCCTGATGTTTTGCAGCAAAAAAATGTTTTTATGTTCCTGGATGTATTTAGAAGCAGAGACTTGTACGCTGGGAGATCATAGGTCACCCTATCAAAACTGGAAGTGGATGCTGGGTGACTTCTGGTTTTGCCTTGTTTTCCTTATTTTAAGCCATCATCTCTCCCTCCTCCNCCCCCCCCCCCCCCCCCCCGTAGAGGCGATCACTTTGGATCCAGCTACCGCTCACCCTTACCTCAGCCTGTCTAAAGATCAGAGGTGTGTGAGGCTCCAGCCCACAGGGCAATATCCGCCGGACATCCCAGAAAGATTCGACACCTGCACTTGTGTTCTGGGCTCTGAAGGGTTCCGTACTGGAAGACACTGGTGGGAGGTGGAGGTGGATGAGAGAGGGGTCTGGGCCGCTGGGGTCGCCGTGGCCTCTGTGAGAAGAAAAGGTCTGGTACATTTTAACCCCAAGGAAGGAATATGGGCCGTGGGGCAGATGCAGGGGGGCCACTACCAAGCCCTGAGCACCACGAAGCATAACTTGCTGCTCAAGCAGAAGCTCAGGAAGATCCGGGTGACTCTGGATTGCAAAAAGAATGAAGTGGCTTTTGTTGATTCGGAGACAGAGTCCCCCGTCTTTAAATTCTCCTCAGCCACTTTTGCGACGGAGGAGGTCTTCCCTTGGTTCTGGCTCGGTAGGCTGGCAACCCAGCTACGACTCACTCTCTGAGGGCTGCAAGCAGCCTGTCCGAAAGCAGACCTCTCTAGGCCCTAAAACAGCCCACCCTCTATGATGCTGGGGAACTCTACCTGACAGACTTCATTCTGTAGATGTTTGGGGGTTTTCTTTGGACTACATCTCCCAGAATTCCCCAAGCAGCATGGGATACCTGCTTGGGGAATTCTGCCAGTTGCAGTCCACCCACAGAAATTTTGGCACTTTTGACAGTGACCTGTGATTAGACGACAGGATTCATCTAACCCTGAAAGGCATTATGAAAGCAGGATCTTTTCGCCCTTCTTGAAGATTGCAAACTAGCTTGATTGTTTGCAGGATGGGTGCTTCTGCCCCTCACCTTGGGTTTTGTTTGCAAACCTGCTTGTTCAGTTCCAAAGGTCCTGAATCAGTTCTGGGGAACACTAGTGAATTTTAGCCTCTAGTGACGGGCTGTTTGCAAAGAATCATTTGGCTTTCCCTGTACCTATTCCTCCTTGGGAACAGTAGGGCTGTTCTCGTGCAGATTGGATGTGTAGCAATCCCAGTGCACAGTGCAGTGTCGTGACTAGAACTGTGACACTGGACATCTGGGCTCAGAGTCCCACTCAGCCGTGAAACTCGTTGAAGGATCTCGGATAGCTTTTCACCAAGTTTTTGCGGGGAAAAGAAAAATCATTTGGGTTCATGGGGGAAGGCAGGAGGAGGCAGAATATACAGGCAGCAAATAAATGAAAAAACAGGATGAATGGAATGTAAGGATGGAAACTTTTTTGGGGGTCCTAAGAGCACCCCCATTGCTCCCCTAAACATATTAGCAAATAAATATATAGGGGACAAATATATTTGCAGGAGCATTTATAAAATTTGTACTAAAGCATTTGCGCTTCCGCAGTTCACAGGAAACAAAGATTCTGCTCTCCTCAGCAGGGAGGGCTTCAATCCTTAAAATGTATTAGTCTGCCCGCTTGGCACAGCTGGCTAAGAGCCTGATCCCAATGACAAATAGCAACTGCTCTTGTATTGGGTTCTGGTAAAAGAAACCTGATTCAAATTTAGGCATACATGTGAAGTACATGCTTACACGGAATAGTGTGCCAGGGGAACTGGGGAGGGGGGTTGTTTGCTCCTCCAGGTGTGTGGAAGGACATTGGGGCTGTTGGCAAGGGCAGGCTGTAAGCTCCTTTTGGAAGAGGGGATGATTTCTAGGAAGACAGACTGGGCGTCTTTGTTGAAAAGATTTGCTGTTGTCTTTTGCACATGTATTTCTAAATCCCAGCCTTGACCTGAACTTTCAAATAAATGTTGTCATTCGACTCAATAAACTATCTCTTGGTTCATCTTTGGTTGAGGACAGAGAGGAGTGTTGCGATATAGGGGCAAAGACAGTTTTCTTACTCAGGGGTCTGTCTATAGCTTGAAGAACTACACTGCCCTCTTCCCATGTTTCTGATTCATCTTTTTTTCTTATTCTAATGAGAATTAGAGTTTGATTTGCTCAGGATGGACTTGGGTCTCTTCCTGGCAATCCAATAACTACACTGCCCTCTTCCCATGTTTCTGACTCATCTTTTTTCTTTCTTTCATTCTAGTGAGAGTTAAGAGCTTGATTTGCTCAGGATGCACTTGGGTCTCTTCCTGGCAATCCAAACTGCTGCTTGTAGGGCAACCTATAGAACTCTTGTCTTCGATACCCCTTGGCAGGCTTATCCTTCATGGAGCGGTGTAATTTCCTTAAGCCTTAAAATGAATGGCTTTGTCCCTTAGTGAACTGCATAATTGGGCTGAAAGCAGACAACAGCTTCATGGAGTAGGACTCAGGAGATCTGGTTCAAGTGCCCACTTAGCCCCAGAAACCTTCTGGGGATGGTGGCAATTCTTTGAATATTTCACACACATCTAAAAAACCCTACTAGGGTTTCACCATTCACTGGAAGTGAGCTGACAGCACATAGTAACAGTTCTGTGCAGATCATAGCTTGCATCTTTCTTCACTGGAGGGCTCCAGATTCAAACATTCAGGTTCAGTTTAGGCATCCTTCAGTCTCGAGACACTATGGTAACGTGCTCTGCATGGAGGTCTCGGAACAGCCTCTAGTGTGGCTGAGAAGGCCAATTCGAGAGTGACAATCCCTTCCACACTGAGGACAAATACAATATATACCCCATGGGGTGGGCAATTAATTTCTATAGGGGGGGACATGAAAAATCTGAACTGTGTTTGGGGGCCGAACCAACTTTACTTAAAAATAAAATGAAACTGATGTTACGATTGTTTTTATTTTAAACTTGTTAATCTTCTCAAATACTAAAGAGGTGGTTTTTTTTTTGCGGTATGTTAAAGCAACTGATCAACTTTAGACAAAAAGCTATAAATGGTTTCCACGGGCCGGAAAGGAGAGGCTTTATTTTAAACTTGTTAATCTTCTCAAATACTAAAGAGGTTTTTTTTTGCGGTATGTTAAAGCAACTGATCAACTTTAGACAAAAAGCTATAAATGGTTTCCACGGGCCGGAAAGGAGAGGCTCCCGGGCCGGATGTGGCCCTCTAGCCGCACCTAGCCGCACTTTGCCCAGGTCTGATGTACCCCATCCAGCTCCCTGATTTTGCTGGTTTCATGACTGCCTCTTTGCCTCAGCCTGCTGGACAAGGGTCTCTTCAAATTGGGAGAGGCTGTGAGGCACCGCCTGCCTCCAGGCTGAACGCTCAGATATCAGGGTTTCCTATCTGTTGAAATCCATTTCCAAGGCCTTCAGATCCTGCTTGCAGATGTCCTTGTATCGCAGCTGTGGTCTCCCTCTGGGGCGATGTCCCTGCACTAATTCTCCATACAGGAGATATTTTGGAATCCGACCATCAGCAATTCTTACAACATACCTAAGCCAACGTAGACGTTGTAGATTCAAACATTATAGATTCAAAAAAAGAGATGACTGAAAAAACAAAACAAAACCCTCTTGTCTTTTTTCTCCACATTATATATAGACCTTTGTCATGTGTCTTGTTTATGTATCTTTTTCTCAGCTAAAAAACCCTCAAGAACTGTAACTACAGATGTGCAGGTTTGTTTCTGGACTGTGGCTCCCAGAATTATTCAGGCAGCTTTCCTCTCCCAAACATGGCTGGTACAGTTATCCCTCTTCTCTCATTTCACTCCCCCTCAAAAACTGGTGTGTGTGTGTGTGTGTGTATGTTAAAAGAGCTAGTACGCTTCCTATCTTTGTTAGCATCAGCAGGTTTCCAGAAGCCTACTTGGGCTGTCATTAATATCCAGTACACAAAACTGCACTTCTCCCTTCTATAATGCTATAGTTAGGAGCTCCAGACCCCCGTATTGTTCAAAAACCATGTATAAATCTTATTCCCAAAAACATAACTTCAAAGCATAAACTGTTTATTCTCTCTCTCTCTCACGCGCACACGTAGAAAGGCAGCTAGACAGGGAAAGCCTCTGGGGGGGGGGATGGAGGCATAATTCTTCCTCCCCTCCCAATGGAGCAGCACACTGCTGTGATTCCACACACACACACCCCGGACCTTTCTCAGCCTTCCGAGCACACCCCAGCGCTCTCCCTGGTTGCCACGTGGAGCCACCAGGACAGGAGCCGGAAGGACGCCATCAACCACACCGCCAACCACAGGGGCTTCAGTGAGTCCAAGACCCAACTCCCTTAAGCCACTTCCTGGAGACAAATAGCCGCACAGCATTGACTGAATAAATATGCATTTAGTGAAATATGCATGTATTTATTTATTGGGAAAAAATTTGTAAAACTAAAACCTGTGCAACTTAAGGGACAAGTGTCTATACAGCGTCATTATTCTTCCCCTTGCCACTGCTAATGGGCAGTCCCCATTTTTGTCACACACACACACCTTAAGGTTCCTTTACCCTGAGGCAACATCGCTACTTAACTTGAAACCACACTCAATATTTTTTTAAAAAACTACAGGAGGTCAGTGTCATGATAGGACTTTCTCAACATCAGTCTGTTATTTTCAAAGATTACAAATATTTGAGAGGAAAAAAACACTGAAAAGTCTATGATTCCTTGTTGAACAGATGCTCTCTCTGGTTCCGGTAATGAGCCACCCAGTTCCATTCCAAAGCAAACTCTACGTTTGTTTAAAATGACAAGTAAGATTTTGCTTAAGTCTTGTAATAAACTGGTAAGGGAATAGCTGTTTCTGCTGTATTTTCACCCGTATTTATTCTCTTAAAAATATAATCAAGCAATAGCAATTATCACAAAATGTAAAAATATCAGTAAATTAAAAGTACAAAAATTGCAGAACTGTCCATGTGTTGCCATAGTATGCTACTGCTGCTCTAGATGTGGCACTGTGAATTATCAACAGTGGCTGAGATTCCCATTTCTATTCTCTGCAGACAGGATGGATAGCAACACATCCCATCTTCCACAAGTAAAAAATATAATAATAATAATTTCAGAATAATCTTAGATCTTCAGACCTGGAAGAGACCCAATGGATCATCAAGTCCTGCCCCTGTCAAGGAGGCACAGCGAGGATTCGAACTCACAACCTCCGACTCAGGAGCCAGAGATTTAAACCACTCCACTATCCAGTGGAGTTTGAGATTTCAGAAGCTATATACCCGTGCAGATCAACCTGCATGGGTGGCTGGGAATTTTGAAAGTTCTAGTTCGAGACATGAAGCTGGGGATAGCTGACCTGTTCCCATTATGGGGAACCATACATGGAAGTGAACCTGCCGTCCTCACCTCGGATAATGAATCTGGTCTCAGCTGATCTGCACAGTCATTTTGATTGATTCCTATTCAGTCTTGGAAAATAGCAATTGGAGCTTTGCCATGCCTCACAGTTTGTACAGGAAACCGGCGTGATGTTCAGGTTGCCTTGCAAACCGTTCCACCACCTTGAGACTGAAACCTGGGATGTTTTTAATCATCCCTTTCTCAACAGACAGCATGGCCAAGGCGTTGAGTTTGTTGTGCGGCATGGTGTTCGTTAGGAAAGTCTTTACCCTCGTCAGAGCCGACACGGCCTGGCCTGCTTCTGCCACCATTGCAGGCGTGGTGACCAGGATTCGCAACAACGTCACGGTTTGCTCAAAGGTTTTCTCCAGGTTGTACATGGAAAGCACATACAGCAGCTGGTAAGCGTTTTTGCAACGGTAGAATTCTTGCCTCTCGTACAGGACAGAAAGTTCTGCCATCAACCTCTCCTTCTCCAGCATCGGGTAGGCCTTTACAGCTTCGTCAAAGGCCTCCTGTGGAAAAGCCCGGTGGTGAGATCGAAACAAGCTTCCCTGGACCAGCGTGGCGCTTGCTAGATGACTAGTAAATGCAAAGCGTTCTTTTGCATGGGCCGTGATGATGTTGCACACGTCTAAGGCCATCTGATCCAGCGTCTCCTTTGTTTTGTCCGTGGGCAGCACAGATTCAGAAGGCAATTCCCCAAACAAGGTTCCAACGGATTCTTTGACTGAGCTGATGGCGCTTGTGAAGTCCGAAGTAGCTTTCTGGATGGCTACAGAATTGTTGACTGTACTCCAGAGTTGCCTGTGGAAAGTATCCACGTGAGGCATTATTCTGTGGAAGAGGGAGAGCAAATACAAGAACTCTCCATCATCTTCCAGCATTGGAATGAACAGTCCGGCCATGCGGACTGCAGGGGTATCAAACTTCCACGTTCTTCTGATTTCACAGAAACATTTGAGGAGCTCCAGTCTCTTCCCAAACACATAATTTACCGTTTGGATGTTAAGGTTCCAGTTTATCTGGGATGTTTTATTAAGCTGCCTCCTCACAATGGCCTCCAGAAGCTGCCTCCTTTTCGCGCTGCAGGAGAAGAACTCTGGGATTCCGGAAAGATCTGCAAAGAAACGCCGCACTTCCTCAATTTGGGATGTGGCTTGCTGAATGACCGTATTCATTCGGTGAGCATAAGAGTGAACATACTGGGCGCTAGGGAATGCGTCACAAATCTTGTCCTGTATCCTTGCGCGGTCACCGTGCGTCGCACTCGCCCCATCATAGCTCTGAGCGATGATCTTCTGCTTGTCAGCTGCCTCTGGAAACACCTCTTCCAGCTGCTGAAGTACAAATTTAGCGGTGGTTTCGGCCTGATGATCTTCCAGGTCTGCAAATCCATAAAAGCGTTCTACCAAAGAGCGGCTTTCATCGACGTAGCGGAAGATCAGGGCCGTCTGGGAGTGAGTGGACACGTCTACGTGACTGACCTCAATGGCCACAAAAGGAGCACTTTTCAGCTGCTCTTTAATGTGATCTTTTGCCACCGCCAATGCACAATCAAGCAAGTCGCTCAGAATTGTCTTGGATAGACCTGCCAACACTGGGGAACTTTGCAAGTCAGGTTTCAAAGCCAGGCTGAGGTATGCCATGAGATTAACCTCTCCTCTGAACACTCCTGGGTGTACTGAATCCTCAACCTCATCCTCTTCTGAAAGCAACAGCCCAAAAATATCACAATGCAATATAGCCTCCATGACCTTCAAAAGGCTGTTTCTGTTTTTTTCTATTTCTTCGTTCTGTTTCCTTACGGACTCTTGGCCACTACCGTCCTTTTGCTTTGCACTCTTGGCGTCCAATATTGCCAGCTGCAGGCAGCTGTTAATGTGGCTCTGGGATGTTTCATGTCTCTTGATTTTATCACTAAGGTGCTTTAAATCTCGGACTCCTGTCCGTGTCCAAGTGTCGACACCCCCAAACAGCAAACAAGGGAAACAGAACAACGCATCTTGGGTAGCGCTTCCACACAGCCATTCCTTTCGGTCATACCACCCTGCGCTGAACTTCCGTGTCAACTCTTTTCCTCTCTCACATCTGGACTGGTGGAGCATCAGAGGAGGCCTGTGCGGTCCCATCATTCTGATTCGTAGCTGGTCAGCTAAGCTCAGCCGGGAGAACTCTGTCTTCTGAAGCAATTCTACAGAATTCAACTTGAAGCCACCTTAGGGTGTGGGAAGTAAAGAAGAAGTAGTGAGATTTTGGCCTGTAAATAAATGGAGCCAAATATGAACAGTGAACTCATTTTTGCTGTTTGGAACCTCAAAAAGCCAAAAACCACACTATGTGTACACAAGAGGAAAAGCATCAGCAGGCATACTGAAGTAGAAAAGCACTGTGGATTCAATGGGGTTTTAACCCATGCAGCCCAGTAAGGACAAGCTGGAATTAAGTATCCTGATAAAAAGTATAGGTGGCAGATTGACACCCTGAATGTGTTGTTGTTACATGCTGTCAAGTCAGAACCAACATATAGCAACCTTAATAGGGCTTTCAAAGTGAGATATTTAAGGAGTGGTTTTATTAGTTCCACTCCCTCAGTGGGTTTCCATGACTGAGTGGGGTTTTGAACCCTGTTCTCCAGAGTCCCAGTCCAGTCACTCTAACCACTGCACCACATTTAGTACAGTATATCACATAAGTAGGTACAACCCCTCACATTTCCTAAATATTTTAGTATATCTTTTCATGTGACGACACTGAAGAAATGACACCTGGCTACAATGTAAAGCAGTGAGTATACAGCTTGTATAACAGTGTAAATATCCTCTCCCCTCAAAATAACAAAACGCAGCCATTAATGTCCAAAACTCTGGCAACAAAAGTGAGTACACCCCTATGTGACAATGTCCAAACTGGGCCCAAGTAGCCATTGTCCCTCCCTGGTGTCATGAGACCCATGAGTGTCACAAGTCGCAGGTATCCAAATTGGGCACAAAGTGTCAATATTCTGTGTGGCCACCATTATTTTCCAGCACTGCTTTAACCCTCTTGGGTACAGAGTTCACCAGAACTTCACAGGTTGCCACTGGAGTCCTCTTTCACTTCTCCATGATGACATCAGAGAGCTGGTGGATGTTAGAGACCTTGCGCACCTCCACCTTCCATTTCAGGGTGCCCCACAGATGCTCAATAAATAGGGTTTAGGTCTGGAGACATGCTTGGCCAGTCCATCACCTTTACCCTCAGCTTCTTTAGCGAGGCAGTGGTCATTTTGGAGGCATTTGGGGTCATCATCATGTTGGAATCCTGGCCTGCGGCCCAGTCTCCAAAGGGAGGGGATCATGCTCTGCTTCAGTATGTCACAGTACATGTTGTCATTCATGGTTCTCTCAATGACTGTAGCTCTCCAGTGCTGGGAGCACTCATGCAGCCTCAGACCATGACACTCCCACCACCACGCTTGACTGTAGGCACGACACACTTGTCTTTGTACTCCTCACCTGGTTGCCGCCACACATGTACCATCTGAACCAAATAAGTTTATCTTTCACTCATTGGACCACAGGACATGGTTCCAGAAATCCATGTCCTTAGTGAGCTTGTCTGCAGCAAACCATATGCGGGCTTTCTTGTGCATCATCTTTAGAACAGACTTCTTTCTGGGATGACAGCCCTGGAGACCAATTTGATGAAGTGTGCGGTGTATGGTCTGAGCACGGACAGGTTGACCCTCCACCCTTTCTACCTCTGCAGCAATGCTGGCAGCACTCGTACATCTACTTCACAAAGCCAACCTCTGGATATGACTCTGAGCAAGGGCACTCCGCTTCTTGGATCGACCATGGTGAGGCCTGTTGTGAGTGGAACCTGTCCTGTTAAACCGCTGTATGGTATTGGCCAGTGGACTGCAGCTCAGTTTCAGGGTTTTGGCAATCTTCTTATAGCCTAGGCCATCTTTATGTAGAGCAACAATTCCTTTGTTCTGATCCTCAGATAGTTCATTACCGTGAGGTGCCATGTGGAACTTCCAGTGACCAGTCAAGAGAGTGAGAGCGGTAACACCTGTTCCCCCTTCACACCTGAGACTTGTGACACTAATGGGTCTCATGACACCAGGTAGGGAAAACGGTTACTTAGGTCCAATTTGGACATTGTCACTTAGGGGTGTACTCACTTTTTGTTGCCAGCGGCTTAGACATTAATGGCTGTGTGTTGTGTTATTTTGAAGGGAAAGCACATTTACACTGTTATACAAGCTGTATACTCACTGCTTTACATTGTAGCCAGGTGTCATTTCTTCAGTGTTGTCACATGAAAAAATATACGTTGGGGCCATGAGTTGCAAACTTAATTCTTGCTGGGATGATGGTCGTAACTCAAGTTGGTCGTAACTCAAAGCACCATTTCCCACAGGAATACACTGAAAAACGATTATTCCGTTCTGGCTGCTTTTCAGTTGTATCTCAAGGCGTTGGTTGTATCTCAAAGCATTAGTTCCCATAGGAACCAATGCAAAAGTGGTTAATCTGTCCACTAGGGGAAAACCTTTTTTTAAAACCTAAAACGACCTCTAAGGATGAAAAAAGGGCAGGAAAGGAGGGAGGGAGGGAACAACGGGGAAAAGAGGAAATAAAGTCTTCACTGGGGTACACAGACTCCTCAGACAAAGGTTTGTGCTTTTAGGCACAAGGAGGATAGAGAGAGAGAAGACAAGAGGGGGGGGAGTTTGGAGTCTTCAAACACCTTTTAAACAAAACACATTCTAAAACAAAAGAGAGATCACTTATCTTTTGGTGTCTTCTGGAGGACATCTGGGTGACATCTCCCTCCTTAGGTACTATATAGGTGACTTCTGGCTGGAGGACAGGCAGGCAGGTGGTGAGATGGTAATCATAAGGAGGTAGAGCCCCCTTCCTTTGGGTCATCTTCTCCAGGGGTTTCCTGTTGCTGTCTCTTGGCTACAGGCTCCATTCTGGTGACAAATCTGCGCTGCAGAATCTTTCTGAAATAGCTGACCACGTTGTCGTTCATCATGTCCAAAACTCTGCCCGTCACGGTCCTGTTTGGGTGGTGCCTCTCAAAGAACTCCTGGCACTCGTTCCATTTCTGGCAGATATAGCTTATCTCCTCACTGCTAATCTGCGCTCCCACTTCCTCTTCGTCAGCAGGGAGCTCCTCCACAAGAGCCTTCTGCTGCTCAGCTTCCAGTACCTCAAGTTCTTCTGTGGTCAACTCCTTTTCGTGGTCTTCAACCAGCTCTTCTATGTCCTTCTCGTTGACATCCAGGCCCATGCCTTCACCCATGGAGACGATGTCCCTCACCACCTGCGCATCAATCCACTCAGCGTCATCGTCTGCGGCGCATTCCGGCCACAGTTTCTTCCAGGCTGAGTTCAAGGTCTGAGTTGCGACATCTTGCCAGGCCTTGTCAATGAGTCTGATGCAGTGGAGGACATTGAAATGTTCCTTCCAGAACTCTCTCAGGGTCAAGGACGTCTCCTCGATGACGTTGAAGCATCTGGTGAAGAGCGCCTTTGTGTAGAGCTTCTTGAAACTGTTGGTCACTTGCTGGTTCATGGGCTGCAGGAAAGGTGTTGTGTTTGGGGGGAGGAACCTGACCCTGATGAAGTGATACTCATTGTCAAGACCATCCATCAAGGATGGGGGGTGTGCCGGGGCGTTGTCCATCAGCAGAAGGCACCTTTCAGGAAGCTGGTTGTCAGAAAGATATCTTTTGACAGTGGGTGCAAACACTTCATAGAACCATTCCATAAACAGCTGCCTTGTCATCCAAGCTCTTGCGTTGGCCCTCCACATGACAGGCAGTGTGGCCTTGTTAACTCTCTCTCGCAGGAATGGGCGAGGAGTCTGGCAATGGTACACCAGAAGAGGTTTGATCTTCAGATCACCTGCGGCATTGGCACACAGCAAAAGGGTCAACCTGTCCTTCATGGGTCTGTGGCCTGGCGTTTTCAGTTCCTCCTGAGTTAGGAAAGTTCTCCTGGGCATCTTCTTCCAGAACAGTCTTGTCTCATCGCAGTTGAAGACTTGCTGGGGGAGGTATTCTTCTTCCTTGACGAATTTGGTAAAGTTGAACTTGAAGGCTTCTGCAGCATCTCGGTCAGAACTTGCAGCCTCCCCATGTCTTGTAACACAGTGGATGCCACTTCTCTTTTGGAATTTTTGAAACCACCCTCTGCTAGCTTTGAATTTTTCTTGCAGTGCACTTCCAGAGGGGTTTCTTTCCATTAAGTCAGTGTGCAGCTTCTTCGCTTTCGCACGAATCATGGCTTCATTGATGCTTTCCCCTTTCAGCTGTTTCTCATTCATCCACACCAGTAAAAGTTTTTCCACCTTTTCAATCAGGGGTGTCCTGATCTTTGTTAGGATTGTGACTCCTTTTGCCACATCAATTCCTTTCAATATATTTTTCTTCTTTAATATGCTGGAGATGGTTGACTTTGCCATATTGTATGCAGCAGCCAGTTCAGTCACACGCATGCCACGGTCATGCATTCTGATGATGTCCTTCTTCAGTTGAATGGAGATGATCTTCTTCTTCTCTTTCTCTGGAGCCATGAGTACTGTTCAGCACACCATACAGTACAGAATAATAAAAAAACCATTCCAGCAGGGACTAAAAATGCTACAACTACACACTGCAGGACCGATCAGAGCACAGAAACATAACCCCCCACCCAGCCAGCCCAAACCCACGCTACAAAACACTGTACAATACTCACCCAGACCAGGCAGTCTCTCTGTATAAAAAAGTCAAAAAGAAAAAATGCATATATATGTACAGAGAGAGAGAGAGAGAGAGAGAGAGAGAGAGAGAGAGAGAACAGTACAGTAACATGCAGTACCATGCAATCCAAAGTCTCTCCAAACCCACACTCCCTAACTGCTGGGGAGAAGGAGCTAGAGAGAAGCAGCCTCTTCGCTGACCAACGGTTAACTAAAGGACAAAAGGAGGGAAAGCAGATCAAATTCCCCACCTTTTTTCCAGTTGTATCTCAAAGCGCCGGTCGCAAGTCAAAGGAAAATTTTGCGACCGGAGCTGGTTGTAACTTGAATTAGTCGCAAGCCAAGACATTCGTAAGTTGAGGCACCACTGTACTAAAATGTTTATGAAATGTGGGGGGGGGGTTGTACTCACTTCTGTGATATACTGTATCTGCACCCTGAACGGAAGGACTCAATTCTGCAATAATTACAAAGTCCACATGTTAAAGATTAAATCGAAATGGAGTGGAGGAGAATGGCCGCCATGTAATATAATTTATTTATTGCATAAATTTTTTTTTCCGAAGTGAGCTCAAAGTGATATACATGTGTGACTGGTGCATTTCATGGCTGAGTAGGGATTCGAACCTAAGACTTCGAAATCTGAATCCAATATTCTAGCTACTACAGCACCATTGGTCAGAATCCTATTGCCCCATGCAATTGTATAAAGGCAATCACAGAAGTAAATCTACCTTCTTAGGAGGTTATCCATCTTTAATCTATTTATTGGTCAACAAATTGAGATTTTCTTTAGAGGTAAACTGATAGCAAGCAAAAAGGAGAAAACCGCTTGCATGGCTGCCTTAGTCTTGCACAAGAGGATTTCAGCCACCAGCTCTCAGAATATAAAATCTCTCTTGGATTACTCTTAGGCTATTTCAAACCTCACCTCTCTTTTCCAGCCCTGCTACCAGCTAATCTCTGAGAATTTAACATTGGGCTTTCTGCTAGGAAATCATGTGCTAAGGGATTGACCTATAAATTCCTTCTCAATTTCACTAAACTCTTAAGACAAAGAGACACAATTTCCTTTCAGCAAAAAATTTAAGCTACGCCAATGAGTGGCATTTCCATCTCTCTCTGCCCTAGCACTAGAATCCAGGGTTGCCCAGTGAAATGAATGGATCACATGATGGCTCATTTATGAATCTGCTTAAATGTGTGTGTTGGGTGAGGTCTCAGGAGCAAGTCTTCTCTGTTGGTGCTACTAGGCTCTGGAACTCCCTCCCACAAGAGGCCAGGCTGACCCCATCTTTGCTGTCCTTACACAACTAGACAAAGACCCTTCTCTTCAGGCAAGCTTTCTCTGAGTGAAGGGCTGCCAAATGGGTTTGTTTTAAAAGGACTGTTGTATCTCACTGCACCGATTCAATGGGCCAACACTATTGGAAGTTACTATGTTAAGCCACAGGATTTCAGCCACTATGCTCATTTTCAACCATATACAGTGATGCCCTGCATAGCGACAATAATCAGTTCTGGAAAAATCGTCGCTATCCAGAATCGTGGCTATCCGAAACAAAAAAGCCCATAGGAATGAATTGAACCCCTTCAATGCGTTCCTATGGGCTTAAAACTCATCGTTATGCGAAAATCCTCCATACGGCCGCCATTTCCGCTGCCCAGTAAGTGAGGAATGGGCTCGAAAACACATTCGGCGGCCATTTATCCCCCGGTGGCCATTTTGGAACCGCCGATCAGCTGTTTTTAAAACATCGCTATGCGAAAATTGGTAAGCGAAACAGCTTACTGATCATCGCAAAGTGATTTTTTGCCATTAAAAACATCACAATGCAATCGCTTTTGCGATCGCAAAAAACACATCACTATGCGGATTCGTCGTTAAACGAATCGCTCGTTATGCGGGGCACCAATGCATATCTTCAGAAGAGAATTTCTAGGGAGCAACAGATCCAGGCTCCTCCTTCAGGACTTGCATGTATTGTTCCCTTTCATTTTATCCTTCCGGATAAAAGTCTCTGACAGCTACCCTGGAAATATTCATTTTGTGTTGTGGATGGAGGATACCCTTGGATGGGCTGACCCTCAGATATCCTCATCCTTTGCGGGAAACGAAAAGATACTCTTTCCAATCCTACTTAATTGCTCGCTGAACCCATTTCTTACCTAAGCAAACTGCTTCCATATCTTCACTTCCCTGAGTTGGAGGGAACTCTTGTTCCATTTCTTCCATCTTTACCACTATGTCAGGATACCCTGATTGATACAAAAGAAGGGGTACAGTTTGATAGTGATTGCCTGCCAGGTTTAGCAGAAAATCACAGACTTTTCCAAGATGTCACGGTTTGGAAACTTCCCCATGGCCTCACCAGTGTTCTGCTCTATATCCTTGTTTTCGTTCTTGATTCTCTGCGATGACGTGGAAGACTCCTCCTCCTCTTCAGTCTCAGGACTTGACTCAGGCTTGGGAATGGAAAATCCCACTAAAGGCAAAAGAAACCAATCAGCTTGCAGGTAATATTCCAGATAAACCAATGTCCTCAAAACTGGGAGCCATCAGATATTTTGGACTGCAAGGCCAAAAGCTAAAAGAGGATGAGAGTTTTAACAGAAAGGATAAGCCTGAGGCAGGAAGCACTTAAGAGCTTTGCTTGTGTGACCCCCTTCATGTGTACAGCCAAAATATGTATTAGTTGCACTCAAAGAACACCTGGGTTACCTAAGGCTGGGAACTATTGCTATACCCCAATCTGCACCACTTTGATCACTTATTTCTACATTCACCAAAACACAAGCTCGTTACTACATCAGCACTTGCAGGATCTGGCCCTCCTACTGCCCATTTTGAAAGATACTGAATCTTTTAGCCAAAAGCCATTTGTGGTTGCTTTATTTTCTCCATTATTTTTATTTCGCCTGCCCGCCCACCCACTCTCTCACTCAACCTCTATACCGCCCATCTGGCTACCACTCGGTGGTTCACAACACAGTGAAACAACAGGCAACATTTTAAAACCTATTACACTATGTCTCTGGAGGGGGGCATGAGAGTCCATTGCAGAAACAGCATGAAGCTTTGGCCAGCGTGTCAGTTTTGACCAGCAGAACAGAAAGTTTTGACCAGTACCAAAAGCTTCACAGCTTAGTGGCTAAACTGCAGTACTACAGTCAAGACTCTGCTCACAATCTGAATTCAATTCCAGTGGTCTCAGATAGTCGGCTTGACGTTGCCTCAACTTTACATTCGTTGGTAAACTCATTATCCAGCTGGGAGAGCAGGACAATGCATAGTCTGCATAATAAAACTGTAAACCAACGAGTGTTTTAAGTGCTATAGGCCAGTATATGAGCAGAACACTTTGCTTTTTTTAATTTGGCAGGCGTTTCCCATATGAAGAGGCAGGCTATGGTTCACAAAAGCCTACACCCAAATAAAACTTGTTAATTTTTTCATTGGCACAAGTTGTGGATAACCTATTAACTCCAACAAAACTTACTCTCACCTATGTAAGAGCCTAAACTGTTTCTACAAATGAGCAGCTTTACATGTGTAATCATCATCATTTTAGAACTGTAGAGCTGGATTGGGCCCTATAAATAATTCAGCCCAGACCCTGTCTAGGAGGCCCAGTGGGGAATCAAACTCCCAACCTCCGCAGCCAGATGCCTAAACTACCAAGTTCATGCAACTACTAGCCACCCTGTGATTGCTCTGTGGGACATACATTCTTATAGTTTCAAAAAACAGCAGCTTGTAACCCTCCCAATCAAGCAGCATCTGTTTCCCACAATGGAGCTGTTTTACAATTTTATCCTATATATAAACCTACTGGTTTAAGAGAGGCATTATCTGAAGGGGTACAGGGCGATAGTGGTTGCCTGCTCAGAGTTTCCCAAGATGCCACGGTTTGGAAACTAGGCGGCTTCTCCTTGGCCTCACCCGTGTTCTGCTCTAGATCCTCGTTTTCGTTCTTGATCTTCCGCCATGACGTGGAAGACTCTCCCTCCTCTTCAGTCTCAGGACTTGACTCAGGCTTGGGAATGGAAAATCCCACTAAAGGCAAAAGAAACCAATCATCTTGAAAGTACAGTGGGGTCTCGACTTACGAACGGCTCGACATACGAACGTTTCGACTTATGAACCACTCTCATAGGAATATACGGACTCGACTTACAAACTTAGATTTGAGTTACGAACTCTTTTTTTTCCTTTTTTTAAAAAGCTAAATCATCTTAGGTTAAAGGAAAAAAAGAAAAAAATATACCCCTCTAGTGGCAGAAGGCGGAATAGCAGCTTCCCATTGGTTTCTATGGACGAAAAGAGCAGATACGGATTAAATGGTTTTCAATGCATTTCTATGGGAAATGCAGATTCGACTTAAGAACTTTTCGACCTGAGAACTGCCTTCCAATACAGATTAAGTTCGTAAATCGAGACCCCACTGTAATACTCCAGATCCCGATAAACCAATGTCCTCAAACGTGGGAACCACCAGATGTTTTGGACTGCAAGGCCAAAAGCTAAAAGAAGATGAGAGTTTTAACGGAAAGGATAAGCCTGAGGCAGGAAGCACTTAAGAGCTTTGCTTGTGTGACCCCCTTCATGTGTACAGCCAAAATATGTATTAGTTGCACTCAAAGAATACCTGGATTACCTAAGGCTGGGAACTATTGCTCTACCCCAATCTGCACCACTTTGATCATTTATTTCTACATTCACCGAAACTCAAGCTTGTAACTACATCAGCACTTGTAAGGTCTGGCCCTCTTACTGCCCATTTTAATTCTGTTTATAATTTTTAAAGATACTGTGTCTTCTAGCCAAAAGCCGCTTGTGGTTGCTTTATTTTCTCCATTGTTTTTATTTTGCCTGCCTGCCCGCCCACTCTCTCACTCAACTTCTATACCAACCATGTGGCTACCACTCTGGGTGGTTCACAACACTGTGAAACAACAGACAACACTGTAAAACATAATACTCTATATCTCTGGGGGAGGCATAAATGTCCATTGCAGAAGCAGCATGAAGCTTTGACCAGCATGTCAGTTTTAACCAGCACAACAGAAAATTTTGACCAGTACCAAAACCTTCACAGCCCATTGGTTAAGCTGCAGTACTACAGTCAACACGCTGCTCACAATTTGAATTCAATTTCAGCGGGCTCAGGTAGTCGGCTTGAGGTGGCCTCAACCTTACATTCTACTGCCTCAACCTTACAATCATTCTGCTGGGGGAACAGGGCAATGTATAGTCTGCATAATAAAATTGTAAAACAAAGAGTGTTTTAAGTGCTATGGGCCAGTATATAAGCAGAATACTTTGCTTTTTTTTAATTTGGCAAGTGTTTCCCATATGAAGAGACAGGCTATGGTTCACAAAAGCCTACACCCAAATAAAACTTGTTAATTTTTTCATTGGCACAAGTTGTGGATAACCTATTAACTCCAACAAAACTTACTCTCACCTATGTAAGAGCCTAAACTGTTTCTACAAATGAGCAGCTTTACAT